TCTTGGGTCTCTTTCTCACTTCCTCTGCCTCCTCCCTGAGTCTGCACAGTCACCACCACATCATTCTACACAGGAGAGCAATACACGTATGAATACACTGAACTGGGTTGAATACATGATTTTTTCTTTTTTTCTGCCATGTTTCTACCTGGTTGGCTGGCTACACACACACACACACACCACAGTGTGCAGGTTAGTTTACAGTAGGAGATGGGCTTCTATCATATTATCTTCTATCATTCTATAATTCATTCTTCTTTTATTTTCATTTCAGGTAGTTGTACCTTAAGAGAATTGAAGGCTGGCATCTGTAAATGCAGATAGATATAAGTAGGCTACTTTATTCTTATTTTATTATCATTATCATTATTTTCTTTCCAATTAAATGAAATCAGAAAATAAGTGGTATATGATGGAAAATATGAAAGTCAATGCTTGAAGGAAAATGGACTTCGGAAATCAGTTTTTTATTTTGTATTTACTGTTCTGTAAAAGTCTTGTCGAATGTAATGTTTTATGTTTTGTGTGGACCCCAGGAAGACTAGTTGTTGTCATGCAACAGCTAATGGGGATCCTAATAAACTCAAACTCTAATGGGCTTCGATCTACCAGGTAGCTAGCTAGTCAAACACACACACTGGTTGATGTTACTAGCTAGCTAGCAAACGTCAGCTAACCGCTAGCTAACATAAAGAGTGACCTGTAATTCAATGCAGCGAAAATGAAGAGAAGGTGATGATTATAAATGTGTTTTATTGTATTGAGTGGTAGAAGTAAAGACATGTCTAACATATTCTTTGTTTGAACAACTTACTGAAAAGGTCTGCATCTGCCACCAATGACCGACTGTCGCGGTGATTTACACTCAGCCTACCTGCATGGACTGCTGTGGGTGGGAAGGCAGTTGATTCAAACCATTGTGAGCGAAATGCTGGGGGGGGTCACAAATCTTTGGAAACTTAAGAACTCGCTATTAAGTGTCTATAATCAGCACAAGTTTCTTTCATTGCGTATTATTAATTCGATTGAAATTACATACTTATGTTTACAGTGATATATGGGGGGGGACATATCATATTTTTTCCATATTATCAAAAAGTGGTGGTGCAAAAGCACACGTTTGCTCCCCCAAGGTCAATTGTGGGGATGCACCTGCTCTGCTTGCTCCATTGCTCAGGCGCCCATACCATGCAATGAATTAAGGGAGGGGTGCTCATTCTGTCAAAACAGAGTAAAAGCACCTGTTTGTTTCTTTTTTGACGCCCCTGTGTGTGTGGTGTGTGGTGTGTGTGTTGTGTGTGTGTGTGTGTGTGTGTTGTGTGTTGTGTGTGTTGTGTGTGTGTGTGTGTGTGTTGTGTGTGTGTGTGTGTGTGTGTGTGTGTGTGTGTGTGTGTGTGTGTGTGTGTGTGTGTGTGTGTGTGTGTGTGTGTGTGTGTGTGTGTGTGTGTGTGTGTGTGTGGTGTGTGTGTGTGTGTGTGTGTGTGTGTTGTACAGTGCGTAGGTGCGGCGGGACAGACGGGTCTCAGTTGGTTTGGTGTCCTCTGCTTACTTTTAATTAATTTAATTTCAAATCTTTATTTATACAGATAAATCCCATTGAGATCATTGATCTCTTTTTCAAGGGAGGACCTGCCTCAAGTAGTTCCACATGAAACATAAAACATAAATAGAACAACAAAGGACATCATACAGCATCATTTACATAATTATCCACATAAACAGGTACCAATAGCTTCCGATTGAGTAGCATCCAACCGAGCTTTAAAAACATTTAGTGGCACCAGATTGTTCAGTTTCCATTTAATTTGCATACTATTCCAAGACAGAGGAGCTGCGCATCGAAAAGCTGTCTTCCCTAAGACAGTCCTAGCAGTTGGCACATTTAATAAAATGCATTCGATCTCAGGCAGTAGCCACTTACAATTTTCCGTGAGATCAGGGAGCAGATATAAGATGGAAGTTTCCCTAACATGGCTTTGTATGTTAGGGAAAACTTCCATCTTATATCTGCTCCCTGATCTCACGGAAAATTGTAAGTGGCTTATTATATTACAAGTTAATACTTGTAAATACAACTTTTGGCCCGTAATTTCAATTCCCCATTTCAGCGACCAAAGAGAGGGGGGGGATATATCCAGTCTCTGATTGTGTTACGTTATTATGAGAGTGCTGAGCTCTCATACTTTAAATTGTATATATTTATATAAATATATTTGTGTGTGTGTGTCCGCATCTGTGCCTGTTATTGTCTCATTATACCGCACTCTCAATTAATTCAAAGTAAATATGTGGGGGAACAATGTTCAGCTGATCTAACAGAGATTATAAAATACAGCGCTATGACAAAACACTCGACAGCTGATGCAGCTGTTGCCACGTAATAATGAACGGACGTCGCTTTAATATGACCGCTCAGAGGAGAGGAGTTCTCATTTCTTTAAACGTCTGCTGCTTCCCCTCCTCTTTCCTCGGTTCCCCTCCTCGGTCCTCCGCTCGCATCTCCTGTGGGCGGGTCTAAGTCTCGAGGAGGGGAACCGAGGAGGGGAGTCGAGGAGGGGAAATTTGAGTATTGAGAAGCCTCTCCTGTAAACATCGCAACGCGATGAAAGCAGTTTCTAAAATAATATCCAGAGGATGCATGCAGAGCTGTCATTGGCTGAGATAAGTCCGGCTGTGCGTCACGCCTCCACCGTTCCCTGAAATGCATCCGCGGAGGAGCCGTGGAGGAACCATCAGTGTATCCTCGGTTATAGCTCCTCCAGAGAGCCTCCTCGACGCTCGATGCTCGGTCCTCGGTGTGCATTTAGAGAAATGAGACGTCCTTCAAAATGGCGCGCTGAAATTCATTTCCGGGTCACTACCGAAGGACCGAGGACCGAGGAGTCGAGGAGGGGAAATGTGAGTATTGAGAAGCCTCTAGGGTGAGATCGCTCCTTTGTGCCACGCTGGACCTCGTGTTTCCTTTTTTTGTGGAATATAGCCTGAAAAGGCCTACAAACATTTCTGTTTTTGCCGCCGACGGGCGCAGGAGCAACAGCCTTTTTTTTGTCAATGAACAATAGCCTGGATTAGTCAGTAAAGACACTTGTTGTTTATCGCAGAGCGGACTGTTTAATTTTGTTTGTGTTGTTTGGCTGGAAAACTGTCAATATAATGGATCCATGCATGAAATCTGTCTCTGTTTATTTTGTTTAAGGAGCAGATTATCCGTTTATTATTTCTGTTTACCTTTTTATAATATTATTTCATTGAAGAACCCCTTGTGCGTTTAATTAACACAACTATTTTAGATAGTTGATCGTTACAAGCTGACATTTCTAAATCAACAATTGTGAGGGAGGAAAGGCCAAAGATGATGAGGTTCATGTTATTTGTGTTCTGCTCGATGGATCTTTGACACATAAGAGAACATTTTTGATAGATCTTAAAATTAGAAGGTTGTGTGGTATGGAAACGTGGATGTCAAATGGAAAGGGAAACTGTCAAGAGCGGTCAACATGGGGAAAGCACAGATGCAGTCATTTACTTGATTAGAAAATCCTAGGTCTTCACATACCAAGTGAGATGTACCATTATTGTACCAACTATTTGGATTGCTATACAATCTATCAACAGTCTGGGAGAAATCATCTGCCAAGTGAAGTTTCATCATTAAAAATAGTAAATTATACAGACGACCTCACCCTGATTTTGCTCAGGCCTATTAAACAGTTTTTGATTCCATATTGACTTCAGGCTCTCCCAATGTTTCTTGCTAGTCTTATTCAGAATGTGTGTTAATAGGGTGAAACCACTTGCAGGTTTCCATATTCTTAATAGTAACGTTTTTGACCTCACATAACATAATCCAAAAGGTACATTTGTTGGAATTAAACTAAAGCATTAGCTTTAAGTGAGTTGAGTGTTGACTGACATGGATGTAAGGTTGTTTTTTGAATGTGTAATATTCCTTTAACCTGGCAGATGTGCCATTGTGGCATAATAGTCTTTAGGCTGATTTATCAACCAAATATCTAGATGATGTTGTTGGACAGCCTCACTAGGTTGTTATGATAGGCTGAGTCATAGAGTCTCTGACAGGGTTGACCAACAATCTTTGAGCAGATTTTTAACAGGTGGCGCAGTTTTGATTTTAAAGCTGCTGACAAACATTTGTACCAGGTAGTATTGCAGTCTGTAGAATGGACATTTTGCCAAATTGCCATACATCTTCGTACAGACATTCATAGTCCCCAGAGGATGACACATACTGACTTTAGTGATCCTCAGATTCATCCACCTCCATCACCAGGTCCATTACTCTTGTGAATAACCAGTCACTGCAGAACTGATGACATTGTAAATAACCTGTACTTAAATATGTATCAGCAAAACATTTGCATACTAGCAAGTCTGGAAGTCTAGTTTTAAAATATGCAATCAAATGTGTTTTTAGATTTACATTTTGTCCGAAAAACTTCTAAACAGACAATTCAAAAAACGTTGTTCTCCTTTCTTTCATAACTAATTAATACATTTTACATCTCACACTTATTTAAAAGATATATGTTATATCTATATTAATTTGTTTTCAAATGAGCATCAATGCTATTGAGGGTAATAAATTAAACCGTCTCTTTCTGCATCCCAGCTTATTGAAGGACTTCCTACTTGTGTGGATTCACTTAAATGACTTTTTACCTGCGTGCATTTAATGTACAACAGGCAAGCTCCACCCGATCATTGAAATAGCAAATTCGTTTGACATGAAAGATGCATCTCTTCTCCCTCAGTCAGCACATGGTATGTACCAACAAACACCAGGCCTGAAGGAGTGTTCAAATCATGTTTTGTTTTTTTAAATCTCCTCCTCTTTGATCATAAATCCTGTTAACTAAAAACAGTATGTAACATTTTCATACAGCTCAGCTGCTATGCTTTCAGCTATTTCGCTGGTCATAAAAGTGGATTAAAAGGTCAGAGAGGGGATTTATGCATAATTAAAAGACAGTGACAACAAATAAAACAATGACATTTATTTATTGAGTCATAGGTTATACATTTCATGATATAATAGCGATATATTATTATTGGCAAAGATACTATAATCCAATTGCATTTCTATACATAAATACAAAATCTGAGGTAGGGCCTCAAAGATTGGTGACATTGAAAATAAATAAATGCATTTCACATATATGATATATATTTCCTTTTTTCTTTTTTACATTTCACACTTATTTAAAAGATATTTGTTATATCAATATCTACTCTGTTTTCAAATCAAAACAATGTTATGGGCTGTCGGAGGCACATATCTATATCCATAGGCAGCAGTACCTCACGTAGAACACACAGAAATATATGACATTACTCAAGTAATTAGAAATGTAACCTATGCATTCATAGGTCAGACAACAAAGTGCCAAAAAGACACGACAAACATAACAATAGGAATACCGGTACCATATGAGACAGACAATTAGCTATTCTGTGGTGTTATTTTGATATACATACAATATTCAACCATTAGAGGACATCTATAAGGCCAATGGTTACCTGAAGATGTTTTGTAACGTATTGGCAAACATCGAGGAACACTACATGGGATATGAATGGCAGTATCTTAACTTCCTATGTACGTAGATGACACATTCCTTTATTCTTCTAAAGTTTGTTTTTCTGTTTTCACTACAACCCTAGTTTAAGTACTCTTTCTTTGGTTACCTATACTGCCCAAAGTTGACTTGCAGGCAAAGCGAATTAACGTTTATTTTTCTGTTTTCTCCGTCCTCCTCTGTTAAATTCATGTAGAACAAAAAGCTCCCCAACGCATACATGCACGGACTTATTCTACTGAGAGAGAAAGGAGAAGGATTACAATACATGAACATTGAGTTACAGCAACACAAACTGCACATGCAAGCTCTTCGGTGTTATATTTTATGAGGCAATGTGGATTTAACTAAACCCTAAGCTGTTTTTTTTTCTCGAACCAAAAGCACAGAAGCCGAGTAGAAATGGAAACACAGAGACACAAAACACAGAATTTACTGCTATTTAGCCGTGGCTCTTAAGGGAACCATTCAAATCTATCTCAGGGCATAAGAGGCTTTTTGAGCATACTGTACATTAGATTCAACACATGATTAAAAGGCCAGCCTACCCTTATGGCCACCCCTGTTCTCAAGTGAGTGGTGGCCATTGGATTCATTTTTCTTTTGGAGCATTATGGTGTTGGCAGTTTCACCCAGCTCACAATTTGTCAACTAAGAAAGACAGAGGCATCCTGGAAAGAGAAATCTCCTCTAGTTCTACGCTGAGACTGGCCACGCAAACATCTGATTGATAGTTAGATGGAGTTCCGTAAAACGAATACAGAGACAAACACCCACACACACACGAGCATACAGACATACATTATTATTATGTTTGAACGAATAAAGCTACTTAACAAAAGCAACACTGTGGAGTAAGCAAGCTATTTAACAACAGGGCTTTTGTGCTCATTAGTTGATTATGTTTTTGTATACAACCTCTTTAATAACATCTGTGCTATATGCATGTCGAGATTATGAAAAGACATGGCTTTGAGATACGGTTAAGAAGACCCTTAAACGTCTGAGCAACGGTAATTGCATCCAAGTACAAGTAAACGCCTGCAGTGTTAAAAGCATAATAAAGCCAATCAGGACTTTGTGTCAACGTGAATGTGCAGACCCAAATACTCAAAGCGTGGAAAGGTCTAACTGCTTCTGTGTTTATACATGGCGTTACTGTGTAGGTAATTGCTTGGCAACCGAAAAGTTGACTGCTGTCATGTGACATTAAAGGCCTGCTGAGCTGCACCGTTTTCTTTCCTTCATGCTGCGGAGTAGTTACATCTGAAGAGGATTTTGACGCCCACAGAAACACTCTAACAGAGGCTCATGATGTCTTGACAGCACAATTTAAAGGGACTAAATTACAGCCATTTAACTGATTCTGATGGATCAGTGTGAGCCTTTCATTTTCTGAATATGAGGATAAAACGCGTGCCAATACAATTTAAAGTTGGTTACAAGGATGAGGATTTTGTTAATTAATCTTAACTAGTTATTGTTTTACATTTAACTATGTTATAAAAAGCAATATACTTGATTTAGCACTGCACACAGTTGGGCACAAGTCACTCGTACATCCTGTATCGGCATCGCAAGGCGCGTTTAACAAAAAGCAAGCAAAAATCAAAGCGATGCTGCGTTGAGGTACTCAGAAAGTAGTATTCTGACCCTCTGCAACAAACTCTAAATATAATTTAGCATTCGGATGGCTCAAGATTCTGTTTCCTATGCACTGAATGCTATTGTTCCTACAACTACCGGAGTAGTTTGATGGAGACGAGTATACCTGAGACCCTGTTTTTACGAGGACACAGAGAAGCAAGAGGCATAAGTCTGAAATGGCTAAGAGGTCTCCAAAGGTCAACCACAAACAACAAGAGACAAAGTACACTTCCAGAAAGGAGGAGGCCATTTTCTACGCTATTCTTCATCTACTCACACTTAGCAGCTGCTCCTAACAATTTTGAGCACGCGACAACACACGCGCTTACTACTATTAAGGAGTGTACACTTTGTACAAGATAATACACAGCTAGCAAGAGAAACATGGGGTTTTCAGAGAGACATGAACACAAACACACACACATTCACTCTCAATCTCTTTCTTGCTAGCTCTCTCCTCTGCTGGAGGCTATACATATATATGTAATGATATATTTGATCTACTTTACTGATGTGATGCACATTGTTAAGATGGTTTGACTTGACAGGTTCACAACACATACAGAGATTAATACACTGTCTAAAATATAAGCACAGAGTGACTATAAGGTCAGGTTTTAGTGTGTTAAATTGGTTAAATGGCCACGTTACTATAGGAGAGACTACTCTAGTGATGTCCTACATTAGGAATGTGTTCTTTACATTTTAGAATAATACAATAAAGGAGACCAGGAGTATAACTTAGTAAATAGACCAAGGGAGAGGGTATCACAAATAGTCCCTTGGATTCAGAGAGAATACTGCGTTCTACCATACTGCAGAGTCATCCAGGCCAAAGTGTATCTACTGAAAGTGGTTATCAGGATGCATTCGCTACTCTACTGCGAAGGAGGAGGCACACATTGCAGATCGTGTAATCTATTTTTAACAAAGCAAGAGCAGGTGAGCAGAAGCTGCTGTGAATATACATATATACTGCTGGGTAGGAACACAATGTGAAACCAGAGCAATTTTTTTTTTCTTCTTTTTTCCAGAGGCTGATATTATTGGTAATGCTGTTGGAAATGTGTACACGAATGGAACAAAACACAGATCCCCGCCGAGCTCATTGAACCGCTGCTTCTCTGTCGCACAATTTTCTTTTTGTTTTCCTGTGTCTGCTCGCACCAAGTGATTCATTATCACACGCACACACAAACGCACGTACACACACACACGACTCCATAGGGGGCAGCTATGGTGAGTCTAATATTGCAAGTGCAGTCTGAGCCGTGTCATTTTTATGACACAATTTTCTCTTGGAATAAAGATCCCTGGGAAGGGTTCTGAAGTAATCAGTGGTCATGTGTGGGGGGCAATGATAGCCCATTAATCGAGTACGAAGCCGCAGAGGAGGAGTAGACCCCACCTGGGCAGCCACTTCTCCATGAAAGAAGAGAGGAGGGGGTGGAGAGGAAGGAGGGAAGGGAGAGGGGGACTGTCTGCAGATCCACCAAACAGGGAGGATGACAGGACACATGAGGGTGAAGCACAAACAGGAGAGAAGGGAGAGGAAGGGGGGTCTCCAGGTGCCCCCTGCAGGGGTTGGAGGTTGTTGGTACAATTATGTCAGGGTAACTGCTACTGGTTACTGGTAGGTGCCGAGCTGGAAATCCTTGGGGGGAAGTTTGAGGCCCAGAGAGTTGGTTCCCAGGGGGTCGGTCATGTTTTTGTAGCGTTCTCCACGGTGCTTCAACAGGAAGGGACCCCAGTCGGGCTGAGGGGAGCAGACCAGCTTCAGGCGCTGCGGGGGGGGGGGGAGACACAACACAAGTGGGTTTGTACGAGGTACTTAACCACGGTCAGTTCATTAACCTCAGTTTGGAGAAACACACAGGAGTATCAGCACTGAAGAGAACTAATGTTCTGCTTTAGACAGGGTCAGCATCAAAACCTAATTAAGCCACATAGAGTTGAGAACTCTTGAAAACATTTCCAGCCATTTCAACTATTTTTTGTAGATTTGGTCTAAAGGTCATCATCAGCCTATAGAGAATAACAAAGATGGCCTCCAGTTCTGTAACTAGTCTGTTTCTATATATTGTTCTCACTGGTATTGCTAATGTAAGTGTATATCATATTTAGAATGTCTCCAATGCTTTACCTTGCCGTGAGACAGACCTTTCTACCATTATCAAAGAGCTGCATGTGGTTCAAGGGCCGCGGGTTGCCTTAGGTTAATCGCGGTGGGTGGGAGACAGAGTTGTTTTCTTAAACAATAGCTTGGTTGTTAAAGGTCCTGATATACGGACTGATTTGATTTATTTTTTCTAATACAACATTTAAAACCTAAAATTAAACAAGTGCAGAGAAAGTTATAGGTCTAGTCTTTTTGCTTGTAAAACATAATGGAAACATGAGGTGTCTGTCCTAATGCATAAGTAAAAACGTTGATGATTAAGCTTTCAATATAGTCACAGACAGAAAACAGATTAAAAGGTAAAGCTGGAGGATGCTCTGTGATCAGGGCGGCTGTCAGAGCCGCACAGGGAACAAAGACGTTTGGAGAGAAGGCCACGCTAGTCATCATTCATTAATCTGAGTATTTAATTAGGACCTGCCGGACTCCAAGAAAAATTGCCAAATGAATAGTCAGTTAGCTACTGCCTCTCCCTGCTAATGAGCGAAGGATGAGACTATTGATTTCTCCAACAGTGTGTGTTTGTGATTGTGTGGGACCAGAACATATACGTGACGTGATCATGTTACGGCTTTTTCTCACTAATACCTCTCTAAAGCTGCCGGGTGCGAGGTACATCTTAACGCAGAACATGATGGGGATCCAGATGACGGAGCAGCAGACCATGAGCCAGCCCATGACCATGGACCAGGTGGGGTAGGTGTAGTCCTCGTACGTCATCCCCTTCCACTGGTACAGACTCAATCCTAGGATGCCCTGCACGGAATATGGAAAATGGAGATTAAAAAAGGATGTCTTCTAGGTTACCTTTAAGAATCTCTTCAGCTGCTGCAACACTGACGTAGCTTATTGGCCACAGGTAAAAGGCTTAGATTGTAATGGTCAGCTTCATAGTTATAGATATTGGGAATGGGTTTGTTGTTTATTAGCATGTGGATCTTTCTGTTTAATACAATGAACTCTAACTGTAATTCTTGTTTTGTCCCATTTTAGATTGTAAATCATTTCTGTTTCTGTGTGTTGGCCCCTATTCTAAAGCTTCAGATAGTTTATCAGGGTGTCCCATTTCACATACCTCCAATAATTCCCTTTTTTAAGGGAATTTAATAAAAAAAGGTTTTATGTTGAATAAAATACAAATAAAATGAAAAATAAAGTTGTGTTGGCAGATATTCAGACTCATATGCAGACTAAGGAGCTGGTGGTGGACTTCAGGCGGAGCAGGAAGAGGCCTCTGACCCCCATCACCATCAGGGGGAAGGATGTGGAGGTGGTGAACAGCTACAAGTTCCTGGGAGTGCACTTAAACAATAAACTGGACTGGACAGACAACACAGATGCTCTCTTCAGGAAGGGACAGAGCAAGCTGTTCTTCCTGAGGAGGCTCAGGTCATTCAATGTGTGCACGAGGCTGCTGCAGATGTTCTACCAGTCTGTGGTGGCCAGTGTGCTCTTCTTTGCTGGGGTGGAAACACAAACACTAGGGACACTGGCAGGCTGAACAAGCTCGTGAGGAAGGCTAGCTCTGTAGTTGGAGTACAACAGGATAATCTGGAGGAGGTGGCAGAGGGGAGGACGAGGAGGAAGCTTGACAGCATCCTAGAGAACCCTTCCCACCCACTCCACGCAGAGCTAGTGAATATGAGGAGCACGTTCAGACACAGACTCATCCCCCCCACGACAACGCACCAAGTGCCTCGGACAGTCCTTTGTGCCTGTAGCCATCAGGCTGCACAACAAGGGGTTAATAATGAAAAAGAAAAAAATCACTGGACATAAATATACACTGTTTCCACAACCCATGTTAATATATTAGTAGTAGACCAAATATGTGGATAGATATGTCAGTACAGATGTCCATTTTCACTTGTCACTTTAACTCATTTCGGACTTCATAATTTATATGACCAAATATATATATATGCTGACAGTTATTTTACTCTTATTTTTACTCATCTCCTATTTCATAGTCTTTTATTATTATTATCATTATTATTTAAAGAAAAATTCTTGATTTGATTTTTGATTTTATTAATCGTGTGAATCTTTGCTGTCCTGTTTTTCACGCTAATCCTGTTGCTGCTTGTACAACTGAATTTCCCCACAGGGATTAATAAAGGTCCATCTTATCTTATCTGATTCACAGAAAAGGACTCACGTTATTGAATTGTATTCATCACTTAAGAGAGAATGCTGATTTCTTTGTGATGAGGTGCAACTTCAGATAATTGTTAAAATAATATTTGTAGCTTTATTTACATCTGTGCAATGTAAATAAAGTATTTTAAAGGAAATAAAATGTTCAACTGCTGTCGCACGTCCGACACAGAATAACCAAGATGGCCTCCAGTTCTGTAACAAGCCTGTTTCTATATATTTTTCTCAATTCAAAGACTATTTGTACTAATTCGGGCAAAGTATTCAGATTATGTTGCAACCTTCAAAACAAAATATATTTTGCACTGGAGACACAGTGACATGGCACCAAAGTTCAATAAAAACAAAGGCAGAAAACCCCACTGTTCTTCACAAAGTCCTATCCCTGCAAACTCCACACTCATGGGTAAGAATATAAACAACTATTACAAATACAAATGTTTAGACTTCTGTAGCATGATGTAGTCTGAAGATTTATTTCCAATTACTAGATTAAACTCAGGACGCAGAGCTAAAGCTAAAGCAGACCTTCCTTTTACTATATTTACAAAGGATTGGACAGGGTGGGACAAAGTACCTTCTATTGACTACATTTTGGAACCTGAAAGATTAGAATAGCAATTGAAAACAGAAATAAACCCAGGGCCGACAGAAATACATGAGCTTGGTGTAGTCGCTGCAGTGCATCAATGAGCTTCCCGAGGAAATCAGATCTCCCTGGAGAGCAGCGAGAGGACCAGCCGGCCTCACTGCTGCTCCATTCGTCATCGTCACCTCTGATTCAGAGCTACAATGGTTTCCACTACAATTACTAACACGGCTTCTGGCCAGGGTCCAACACTGAACTCTGTGCATCAGATTCTGCTACCACAAATAAATGGCCGTTTCCCAGAAAATGTGTTGACTGGAGATAAATGTATGTGTGTGTTTGCAGCAGCTGCGTTATCTACAATCTCGCAGTAACTATTTTGTAGAACAACTTGAGACTTGGTGACGTGACAGGAATAGGAAAAAATGAATACATTTCTGTTGCTTTCCAATTGCAAATCAATACACTTGAAAGGCAGCAGTGAAAACATATTTACGCCGCACATGTTCTGTGTGTGTGTGCGAGAGAAAGAGAATAAGATGAGCAAAAACAAACACACCGTCAGAATGGTTGGAGTCACAAAACCCCAGCAGATTCTCCAGAATCGGTTTGGCTGGAAACCAATCATCATTTCAATGTCCTCACAAAATCTCTGCAGACCTGCACAGACAGAAAGAAAAGAGAAGCGAAATGACATAAAAGAACAGAAACATGGGAGAAAGACAGAAAGAGGAGACACAGAGACTGAGCTGGGTTTAATAAGGTCCCTTAAATAAAAGGCCTTGTAAAATGTGTGACTGTGTGTGTGTCTGAGAAAGAGAGAGCAGTATAGTTTCGGTGGTCCTTCAGAAAAAGCGTGGGAGCAGATGGCTTCATTCCTGCGGCTTTATTGACTGATAACAGTGAGTGACATGAAGAGGCAGTCACACAATCATTTCAATATGTCACCTGTACTGATGCTCTGACAAACTGGAGTTTTCTCCACCTGGGGAACAGCCTGTTCCTGTACACCTGAGCCCTGTGTGTGTGACTTAGACATCACAACAGAGACCCCTAGTGGTCACATGTGGAATTACACTGTGTATACCGGTGAGAAAGGGAAGTGAGAACTGCTGTCCTACTCGAAAGATTTCAAGATGATCAAGCTCTTATACACATAGACACCACATCTTTTAAACTTTTTGAAAGTTTGAAATATATTTAAATACTAGCCAGGGTAGGCTATTGAATTACCTAACATGTTCATAAGAAAATGAGTTAAGAATGCGACTAGAGAACTTCATTTTTAACGTTTAATAATAGATTCCTAAAGTTCCTTTTCATGTCGATAAGGTTTTGAATAAAACATGGGATTTTGTACACCAGAGATTTTTCAATTTGGGTTTAAGTTGAAAGACTTCTCTATTTCTTCTGTATTAGGTTACTTGTGAATACAAACGTCTCTGAAACAGCATGTGAATCCTCCTGGAGCACTAAAACTCTTGCCTAAAAGCTAGGCTGATTCAATTATTATATGTTTAGAAAATCTTTGAAGGGTCACTTTGATTGTTTATGTCAAAGACAGCTTTTCTAGATGTACGAAGTCTGTGAAACCAGTAATGATTCGGTGGCTCTGGAGGAGCTTTGTCAAGTCTGAGAAAACACCTCAAGTGGCACCACTCGCACTTCACAACAGAATTTGAAAGACATGGACATTGAGGGTCAAAAGATGTTATCAGGCTGCAAATGAAAAGTGTAGCATTCAGGGTTTGTTGAATTACTTCTTATATAAATGAAGAATTCCTCTTAAAACCAGAACAGTTTCCTGAAGCTGTGTTCAGGGATGTTTGGATATTTGATGATGGATTTTTGAATGTAAGACCTGCAAACAAAAGGGAGGATGGAGCTGAGATTGGTCAAGATATGTAGACAAAACTAACCAGATTTGCATTGATATAAAATGAATACCCAAGGAATATAATCTAATGAGAACATTTGTTCTCCTCAAAGAACAAAATAGTCCGTATGTTAGTTGTGTCACACAGTAGGTTGTAACAATAACATTACAGCCTCCAGTGGCCTCTAGCCATTCATTCTTGCATGTGAAAGAGATAAAACAGGATCAGCTGTACTCACCATAGAGGTAGGAAATCCCCAACAGCTCGCAGATCGCAATGATGACCAATGAGTAGGAGGCTGCGTACGTGTCCACCAACTGCAGCATGAACATCCCATTCTGTCACAAACACAAAGTAAATGTTACAGCAGTTCGAGGTATCATGCTTCAAGGACACTCCTCCTCCTTCACTTGCTGTCAACCTCTGACTTCTCAACGGAGATAACTGTCACAGCGACTTGCAGCAGATGTAAATAAATGACATGTATAAATCCTACTTTTGGCTGGATTTTGCCTTCTGAGGCTGTCTGGGGGGATTCTAATAAGACTCAGCCTCTCTTGTTCCAATCAGCGAGCCTTGTCCTCTGAAGACCCTGAATTCACTTTACATGCAGAGATCTGTCGGCTTATTCAAAGAAAGAGTCCAAGGACGTGTGGAGATAATGCTCAAATGTCCCTGTGGGGCCTTGAAGCATCAGTGTGTGCATGGATTTGTGTTTTAGTGCCGTACCTCTGTAATCATGGGGAACCCGCAGACGAAGAAGATGGCACAGAAGATCAAAGTAAAGAGAGGTTTGTTTTTCCTCAAGTATTTGGGGAACTCGTCAGACACCGAGGTTACGATGGTCTCTATGGTGGCAAACTGGGATGGAGATAATAGAGAGGAAGAAACAGAGAGAGTTCAATCACATGCCAGATGAAAGATTTTTCATTCAGACTCAAATTTGATTAGCCTATAATAGAACAAATTGAATTAAATGATGTGAAATCATCATGAAGTTCGAAATGCTAACTCTGAAAAACACATCACCACATATCCTGACTACAGAATGACTGAAATGGTCTAATCAGCCCAGTTTTGCAGCAGCATTTCAACTAAAAAGCCTCCAGTCAGCACGTTTTCCTCTTTTGTATCAGAGCAGTTGATGATGCTGGAATTCAGTATTCAGAGCCGTTCGTCTCCAATTCATCCTATAAACCCAGTTCAGTCAGACAACTCACGTGTTTCTTTCACATGTTTATTAGAAGCAGCATATAGTTGAGTTTGGCATCTAAGCTCGGGCATCATCACTCCATACATATACATAGCACGATGAGTGATGATTAAATAACTAACCCCCGAGCCTACAGGTGGAAGCTGGGGTGGTGGTGGGGCAGGCAAGCAGCAGCGACGTAGAGGTAGCAGCAGCAATAGCAGCAGCAAGCAATGCATGGAGAGGGATCTGGCAGGTTAAATAGAGCGGCATATTAAGGAGACTCTGTTTGGTCGGTTGTAGAGTGGCAAGGGGGCGTTATGTATGAATGCAGCACAAGTGCTCGAGTTGACTGCCTGAACTAGCTTGCAGGATTCGCCCCATTTTTGCCGTAATTCCATTTATTACCAAAACAAATAAAGAACATTATCCTAATTCTGAGGAGGAGCATGTTCCATTAGCAAATGCAACATGATGTTAAAATGGGCTCAGAACCCAGAGGACAGCAGCAGATGAATATGCAAACAGAAACATTGAGAGAGTTGGTATAGTGTCTGTGTGTATACTCTGTAGAAAGCCATTGGAGCTGAGCTATCTGCCTCCTCTCCGCTCGTCTACTTCCTACTGAACTCCCAAAACTAATTTCCCGTCAACATCCCAAGCCTATTACCACCGAGCTTCTTTCTACAACAAAGCCAGCAGCCCTCTCTTCAGACCTGCCGCTGCCAAGGCAAAGTAACATCATCATTTACTGTTAATGTAGACTTGTGTCTTAATGCGCCGCTGTGCCCCCCGCTCCTCTGCTCGGCTCAGAAGCATCACACTGCATGCAGAAGAGTTGGTGTTTCTTACTGGATCTGTTTGCCCAGGATTGTATCCAGAGGTGCTCTGGACTTTTTTTAAAACATGCCAGGAACTTAAGGGTTTGTTTATTGAAGTCACATCAGGAATTAATAAGTGCAGTAACTGACACAATTACAGTTCTGTAACTTTGAAGAGTGGTGTGCATTGGTAGTACAGAAAAGGAAGCACTTTGAAGTGTTATTACGAATTTAAGCCAACAAAACAAACTTGAAACACAATTGTGACAGCTATAAATTGATAATGGCTAAATATGCAAAGCTAGCGGGCACAACAAAACATATCATTTTGTGTATAATTTAAAGGCACGTTATAATTACATTTATAATACATTTTACATCTTTAATAATAATGTTTAATTTTGTTTAAATACTTTAATGGCACACTCAAGGCCTCCAGCCTCGTAGATGACACAAACTGGTTAATGCAGTTTTAAGTTTTCTACTTATACTTGACTGTCTCCACACTTTTTTGTGATGGTTTAATCTAGAGAATGTCAGACAAAAGTTTGGAAAAATAACTTTATTTATGTACTTTAATTGTACCCAAACATAGATTTACTTCAGGGTTGTTGTTGTTGCAAAACTTTAAGGTCAACTTCATTTCACTCACTCCAATCATGCAGCCCCCCCCCCCCTCAGCTCAAGAACCCGGAGAGCTGGAGCTCTTCAGCTGAAATCAGCCACAGTGGGTGGTGTGTGTGAGTAATTATGATAATTAGGTCAATGTCTGCAGAGTTTATACCGAGCTGCATGCTGCTAACAAAGTTGAGTGTTTACTTTGAGACTCTCCTTGCCAAAATAAAGCTTGCTGATGTTATCAAACTTAGAAATCTTCACCAAGAGACTGGTGCTTAAACAAAAAGCTCTGCCCTTGGAGCTCGGAAATATAAATAATTTATATATAATCATATGAATCTTTGTCATTTTAATTTGCAGCTACAGACCCACAGAGAATAAGCACTGCAGCTCGAATTATCTTTTTAGACTCTGTTGAAACATTATTTTGGTTTAACTGCACATTTACTGTTGGGTTCAGCCTCAGCTCTGCCCTATCACCCTTACTTCCCACAGCAGCAGGCTGTTGTTTTTAAATGTTTTTCCAAAACAATCCCCTATAAAGTCATAGTACACTACCTACCCAGTACAACACAACAACAACAAAAAACATAATTTAGCAGGAAAGTGCATGAATGTTGCATTTACAATCCTCAGGAACTCCACTCCAATCGGAGCATAGTGCTGCTCCATTTCTGCTGGAATTGAAAATGTTGGTTGTTGTAGGTTTTACTACATTTGACAAGCTGTGGAGTATTGTTGGCCCCCAAGTGGCCAATACATGTCACCATTTTAAGGTCCAGGTTTGTTTAGCTGTTTTGTACCAGATTCCAAAGAGAGAAGTGACATCACTGTCACCACTGTGTGCCCACTACAGAGGGATGTCCGGCAGCTCTTTAGCCTATAGCTTAGAACAAAGACTGAAAGCTAAAGATACAGTACTTGCTGACATCCATCAAAAGCAAAAATAAAAATCCAAACCAAAGGCTATTTCTCAACGTCAACCACTGAACAACGTGATTTCAGTGTATGCAGCAACAGTCCTGTCCCTAAAATTAGTTTCCAAGCTAGCTAAACATAGCTGAATGCTCTTCACACAATTGGTGGCTAGCTTAGCTGCTAACAAGACACAACATGTAATAACAACACTTTTGAGGTTTTATTAACAGGGCTAGTACAACAGTTTCTGACGAATCACATGTCAGATTTTAATTATTTTCACATCTTAATCTGGCTAACATGACAGGTGTATTTTGAATTGGGTTGTTGAATTGTTATTTGTTATGACCTGACTAAGGTGGTCGTAACAAGCGAACCAACTTTAAAAAATAATATGTTAATAAGCATAGTAGCCTATAATTGTCAATTTAATCAAATAAAGAAGTCATATAATATAGTGTAAATGTCAATGAAACTAGTAGCAAGTGTGAGGCGTTAGGGGTTGGTGTGTATAAAGGTATGTGTTGGAAGGAAGACCAAAAGTAACTAATTAACTATAATTAAATCAAATATAACGATAACTTACTATCAGCTTGTAATGCCTAAAATTCTGATTGTGTCGAAATAGCTGGCACTTTTAGAGTACCACAAAGTAATCTTACTCCTCATTATTATAAGGACATATAGGGCACACACTCACAGACACATACACACACACACACACACACACACACACACACACACACACACACACACACACACGCACACACACACACAGAGAGAGAGACAGACGGAGCAGTGGTTACCATGGTATCCAGGCCAAGAGTCAGGAGCATGAGGAAGAAAATGATCGCCCAGAAAGGAGACAGTGGAAGTCTGGTCAGCGCCTCTGGATACACCACGAACGCTATGCCTGGACCTGACACACACAAACAGAGCAAACACACACAGAGACACACACACACACACACACACACACACACACACACACACACACACACACACACACACAGGTAAATGAAGATGACCCACACCATCTCCACAGCAGGTAAAGTTTTCAGGTGTGTTTGAGTGAACATCTCCGGCCTGCTGCTACCGTGGTAACTTACCTTCATCCGCCACCTGCTCTATCGGCACTTTCAACTCATGTGCCATGAAACCAATGACCGAGAAGATGACAAAGCCAGCAAATATACTGGTCGCACTGTTTGTACATGTCACAATAATAGTATCCCTGCAGGGGAAAAGAGGGAAAGGGAGAAACAAATGGTTAATATCTGCTTTAGTGATTTAATTAATGGAGCAATATGTTAAACATGCAACATAAAACCAATTTGATATGATGGTAAAGCTCTATCATTTGAACCAGGACATGACTGTTGTGTAAAGCAGAAAAGAGAAACAATGGCGCCATCTGGTGGTAGGAGTTAATACTGCAAACCTAAATGTTACAGAAAGTGTACACAGGGGGGTGTAGTGCATTTGCATTATGCATTATATTGTAAAATAAATAATAACCATGCAATGTTATGTAATGGGCATGTGTGTAAAATATGTTATTAGATAGGTTTATTGAAGGTATTTGTGTAGCAAAACATTAATGATGTAATTTGAATTGAAAGAGAACATTTTTAATATATGTCAAATAAATTATGTGTGTTATGTTATGGATATTTCTTAGAATTATGAAAACAACTCAACAACAAGCCATTCTGAAGTCTAACATTCATTACGTTTAGTTTATTTGGAGAGAAAAAATGCTATAAATGACAAAGTACAATTCTCCTTAAATGTGTTGGTTTTGTAGATGTGTCCCATACATATGACCGTTATATGTTTCAAATTGAGTGGGAGTGAAATGAATAAAACACAACAATAGTTCACAGATTCGAAAGACAGAGGGGGATGCTTTAGAAGAGAGGAAATGAAAGAAACACTGAACTGCAGGCTGCAAAGAGTCACATTCATTGTTGACATTTCTACCAGACATAAAGAAACAGTGTCAGTGTCTACAGTGACAGTTTGAATGTGTCTGCCAGAAGCATGGTTTACCTTTTGTGTGTTTACCTGTAGCAGTTATTGTGGAACTTATTGTAGGAAGAGAGAGTAATGAGGCCTCCCCAAGCAGCCGACAGAGAGAAGAAGATCTGAGTGGCTGCGTCTTTCCACACCTGACAGAGGAGGAGAGGAAGGGCTGCAGGTGAAGAGCAGGAAAAGGACGGAGAACAACACAACATGGGTGAATTAAGCGTCATGCGTCAGGTACCTTTGCAGACCACAGTTTCTCCCACTTTGGAGTTATGAAGTAGAGGATGCCGTTGAAGGCACCAGGGAGGGTCACTCCTCTGATGAGCAGGATGACCAGCACCACGTAGGGGAAGGTGGCTGTGAAATACACCACCTGAGGAGACAAGATGAGGCGAAGTGAGAGAGGGAAGGCCAGTAAAACGGCCTGTGTCAAGTTGCTACAATATTTTCAGTGGGGAAAAGAACATTTGGGCAGTTTGTAGGTATGTCAATCAACTGTTCCAAACACAAGGTGGATGTAATGTTGGGGATCCAATAATGTAGACTAGAGTGTCACTTTTGGTGTTCGGACAACATTTAATATGAATTAACTTTAGAAAACCAGCAACCAAACAAAAACAACATTATTCAGTCTTCCAGGTTTGATTTCCGCACACAGAAATGATGATAAATACGAATAACATGTGAGGTTACACACACTGCACCTTAAAATAAAAACTGTCCAGATGTTTTTTCTACTATGTAACATGACAATCTGTTGGCTCTAGACGGTTTCAAGCCAGCTGGTGTCTCTAAAGGTTTGACAGTGTGTGTGTTGCATCTATGTCCAGCAGAGGGCAACACTATACAACAATTCAACTTCAATAATCTCTCAATGGATGCCATACTGTGCTAGATTCTTGTCCAACAAGGGAGGAAAATAGAGCCACCAAAAAACAGCGGGTTTTAACTTCTTTGTTTATATAAGTATACATATTCTTATTCGATTTTTTTAATTATTATTATTATGAAATGGAGCAAATGTTACAGAAAGATATTTCCCCTGGAATAAGTATTAGGATTCGGATGCGAATGGATCAAATGAGACTTTGTTGATACTTACATATTAATGCGGAAATTTCACAAGTGCTCTGTAGATGTCAAGGTATCACTTTTCAAAGCTTTCTGTACACCATTGTACACGGCTCACCTGTGGAGTAACTACAAGGCTAGAAGCATGCACAAACTAAAAGTTGCATACAATGATGCTTTACGGTTGCTGCTGAGGGTACCGAGATGGCACAGTGCCAGCCAGCTGTTTGTTAACTTGGGGGTACCTACCTGTCAAGCCCTTTTAAGAAATGTAATGTACAAATTCATGTGTCGCCTAGCCCTAGAAGACTCTGACAATCATGTTATCTCGATTTTAATTAACCCTGTGAAGAGTTCTACTCGGTTCTCTTCATGATTTGGAGACATTGGCGCAACAGCCTCCACAGACAGTGAGCGTGTGGCTAGCTGTCATTGGACTGATTTTATGTTTTTTATCTGTTTGTTTTTTTGTTTAGCTTTTTAATCTTATTTATTGATGTGTATCTTGTCATTTTGTATGTGATATGGACCTTGAGTCTGAAATAAAATGTACAAGATATTTGATCGTTTGTAAAAATATTTTTTTAAATATTTTTTATCTTCTAAGTTGTATATTTATTTTAAGGCCTTATTAGTTCGACCTGATGAGAAATCAAAATGAATTTCCTCCAGATTTATTAAATAAAAAAGATCGCATTGAATTCATCTGCTTATTTTAATATGTTAAAAGCTTGGGCTAAAATCTAACAGCATTTGGTGACATTAAGGGCTCTTCACTTGAGTTCTTCCCTTGCTCACCATTATGCAGCATCTCACCACTTCAATCACACTTGTTCTCCTCACCAGCTAAATAAAGTAGCGAACAGCAGAACAGATCAGAGGACTATTTTGAGGAGAATTTTGTTTTGTGTTACCTTTCCTGACGATTTGATTCCTTTGGCTAGAGAGGCGTAGACGATTAACCAGGCGAGCATCAGACAGCCTGCCAGAGGCCAGCGGATATCTCCTGGAAACTCAATTCCTTTGGAGATGTGCAACACGTTGTACCTGCAGGCGGGATTCAAACAGCAAAACTCAGCCTGAAAACACACCTCATAAACTCAAACAAAATGCAATAATACACAATTCAAATATGTATTAGCAAATAACTAACTTCCTTTTTAAATGTTCAAGTCATATATGTATTGTTCCACAAATCTTTCAAATATGTTCTTTAACTGTTTCCAACAGAAATCAAAGTTATTTGAGAATTTGTATAATTATTTGACTTCATTGTTTGTAGAAGTTTCCCCTTATTCTGTCTCGTTTCACACATTCATTAAATGCTACGGAAAAAAGGTTTATTTGTTTTTTGTATATGTTTTTGAGTTGTAGATATACAACTTTTGATTTATAACTGGAAAAAGATTACTATTATTATTTTTGCAGAACATTTTCAGGTGAAACTTTTCTTTGTGTTAAATGAATTCCTTAACATATCCTTTTTTAGACACAAACATGTTAACACCTTGTTCTGTGAAACTCTTTTATAAGCGTATAGGCAAACTTTAAGGAGTTAAACATTACTCTCTATTATCATGATCAAGCTTGGTGTCGAGCACATTCAAGACAAACATATCTGATTGATCTTTCATCTGTGGAAAATAATAAGAAAATTAAAACTTCAAAGTAAAACACAGCAGTTATTTATGTTCCTATGAGTTCTTAATGCTACTTTTATTGGCTGTTTATGCCAGACTCACTTGAAGTACTCCTCGCTGGGGCTGACGTAGGTGTGGTTGCCGTCCACCGTCATGTTCAGCAGTTTGCTCAGGTTTCCCATAGTGTTTGCGGACAGACAGAAAGAGGAGTTCTTGATGGAGGTGAAGTTTCTGTCCCGCAGGATGCACGAGTCTGTTCCAATCAGAAACCAACACACGTAAACTGGGAGAGACTGGCAGAGTGCTGCAGTGGGACAGAGCTCACTGTCCCTCAGGCTCACCCACTGAGGTTAGTGGGAGCGGACACATGGATCTGAGTGGGGGGCTGACAGGAGACAGCAGTGTGGATCCTCAGTGAGAGGACTTAGTTAGATGTTTTGTTATTTTTGTGATATCAAGATGTGAAAATACAAATTATTACACTGAACTATCTATAATCAATGCCTCATTTATGATACTCCAGGAGTCCAGGTAATGTAAGACAAGAAAATTGCTTTTAATTTGACTGCAAAATATTGTCATGCAGGCAAAGTGTGATGACACTTGTTTAAGTCCTGCTTTTAATGCATTGTAATGCAGAAAACATGTCAGTGCTTTGCATTCAGATTTTTTTTTTTCCTAAGATAGAAAATGGCTAAAATACTGCATATAATATGTTACAAAACAATGGCTCAAGCACTCAAGTGCATAAAAAGAGTGTTTCCTGTTACTAGGAAAGAAAAAATATATCAAACCACTGAACCTAATGCAACAGCACTGCAGAACATGCACAACAAAATAAACCTCAATACACGTCTGTTTGACCGAAACATTTGGAAAAAGCACAGTCAAAATGGTATGTGTATTGTTTTGCATGCCTATTGTATCAGATTGTAAAGATGTAATTGAGTCCCCTGCACTACATGTACACGTATGATTTGAACGTATTCATTGCCTAAATGACAGGTTTTATATAACCTTCAATAACCAAAGTGGTTGACTGATTTTATCACTGCTAATATTTCTCCTTTATCTATAATGTCCATCCTTATTGAGGTCCAGAGCCTAGTGTTACAGGCCTGCAGTTCACGCAGCAGCCAGCAGGGGTCAGTCTCGGGCACACCGCAGCACTGCAGCAGCCTGTACAGTAAATGTGTCAACCAAGCAGTTTTTTTGCTGAATTCACACAATCGCTAAAGGCGAATATTAAACAAAATTAACGGAATTTCGATATTTATTCGAACCACGTCGACATAAAATACCTCCAAGGCCCTCCCCACACATTTTCTGCAGCGAAACCACCATTTCATAAACAGTTTCATTTAAAAATTAACCAAAGCCATAACATATGACATTATCACACAAAAGAAAAATCACAACTATTTCAAATGTTTGTTTCTAAGTTGAAAATGTCACATTGAGGCCTGGCCTTACATATAGTTTGCCTGTATCATAAAAAATGTATGGATTTTAAGTATTTTGGGGAGTGAAAACACCGCAGAGATCACAGGTCAGGATTCATTATACTGCAGGACACCTCAGAGGGAGTTGTGACGCATTGCGCATTGTGGAGAGAGAGAGGTACTTTTGGTGTGTGTGCGTGTGTGTGCGTGCGTGCGTGCGTGCGTGTGTGTGTGTGTGTGTGTGTGTGTGTGTCTTACCTAGCAGCAGCATGTCTTTGTCCTTACATTCCGCCGTGTTCCACTCATTCCTACAGTTAGCCCATGGCAGTGAGCCCTTCAACGAAGCGAACAGGTAGTACAGTGTCCAGCACATAATAATATTATAGTATATGGCTATCAAGACAGATATTATCAACATGGCAATCCCGCAACCTAAAATAAATAAATGAGACGAAATATATAAATTACTCTTGAGAAAAAGTAGATGAACTCTTGTTTATAACAACAAATTAGTTTTTTATTTTTGAATTGGCTCTTGGTTGGTTAGTTGTTGCAGTGTACCTTGCAGAGCTGGGATGCATTTCCACACTGACACGGGCCCCTGGCTGGCAAACTGGCCCAGGGCCACCTCCATCAAAAAGATGGGGACGCCGGCAATGCCCAACATTGTCAGGTAGGGGATCAAAAAAGCTCCTGCAAGGAAAGGAAGCAGCCGGATGTACAGAGCGCAGTTTAAAAGACAGAAAAGCCGGAAAACTAACACTAAACTGTTATTAGAATTGAATGTAAGTAAATAATCTCATCAGCTGTTATTCAAACCAGTTTGTGCCATTACATTGATTGATAAATTAAAAAAACATAAATGATCTATAAACGATTTCAAGCAGCTGAACAAGTAATTGATTGTTATATCAAATGTAGTGGATAGTAATTGATAATAATGGTATTTATAATATCATTAACTGTGTCTTCGTTCACAGCAGTCTTATACAAATTATTAAGATTTAAATGCATTTGTATTAACATTATCTTTATTTCTTTAATTGTTTTCGTTGTTCTCATTCAAATAGTTGCTATCCAAAATCTCTCCTGTATTTTTTCCGACTGGTCTAAGGGCTATAGAAACATCTCAAAAGGAGCAATAGAAATACATTAAAAACCCTGATTTCTGATGGGAAATAACTCAAATTTTTCGACCAGATTTTTCGTTAGTGTCTTACCTCCACCATTTTGGAAGGCAAGATAAGGAAACCGCCACACGTTCCCCAGACCCACAGCATAGCCCACCATAGACAGAATAAAATCCAGTTTATTGGTCCAGTTTCCTCTGGCCTTATTCTCATCTCCCTCTTCGTCCTCCTCGTCAGCCTAAGAGGGAAAAACATTCAATTATTCTCCAAAATAAAACCCACACTAGTCTCCAAGTTAAACCATAACTGTATATTAATACTATAAATAAAGACCTGGGCCTAAAAGATGGAATTTTATAATGAAAATATATGGACGTTAGTTATTTCAAGTCAAAAACCACCAACTAAATGCACATCTCTTTTTAAAGAACAAATAGGCTACAATTTTATTTAACTATCATAAAGAAACCTTGAAATATTATCCCCATTTAAAAATACAAACGAATCAATACAAATATTTTAGAGTTCAGCTTGATACATTTGATCTGAATTTCCCTATAAAGGTTTATCTTATCTTATGATTTCCTCACTAAAATTTGTTCCATTATAAAATTGTTCCATTATGTTGATTTCATTAGCAGATGCAGTGGACAATCAGATATCAGCAACAACTTTCCAATGACAACCCTTTATAAAAACTCGTCTTTAACTGCTCTTGTGGGCCCGATATTGCAGCCAAACCGCTTGAAAGCACCTCCTAAATCTAAGATTCTAATATTAAAAAGCTGCTAAGGGTCCACAAATATAAAGCAAATGGGCTACTAAAAAATCATAAATACAATTGTACGGCAGGATATGAGCAGAATACAAAAAACTGCATGAATATTCAGATAATAAACAACACCATGCATGGGAATTTGTGTATTGTGTGTGTGTGTGTGTGTGTGTGTGTGTGTGTGTGTGTGTGTGTGTGTGTGTGTGTGTGTGTGTGTGTGTGTGTGTGTGTGTGTGTGTGTGTGTGTGTGTGTGTGTATATATACGTGTAAGTGTGCGTGGGGTGGGGGGTGCCCTCCACGGGACTGAAACAATCCGCAGTCTCATGTAATACAGTGCTGTCTATCAGCCGGATAACACCTGGGCTTTTGGGCCATACCAAGTGTGTCTGCTGGGAGCGGGGAACACCGAAAATACCACGAGAGTATAATTGAATTCCATTTATCGTGCTACCATTGTTACTGTCGGAAGAAAAATCAAGCAGAACAAATCATTGGAAATCGCTCTGTACGAAAAACAAATAGTCTCATTAAGGACTAATGTTCCATCTGCACTGATGCTGATCAGATCATCCATCACACTGATTCATAAATAAGACGCCGTTTTGTTCCCGGATATTTAGCTGACATAAGCAGGTTTGAAAGTTTTGATCAGATTGGTGCAGAGGGATTCGGACTTGACGCTGCGCAGAGCAGGGACCCCAAAGAGCTCAGAATCCCCCCAAAGAGCTACAGTCCTTTACATGCAATAATCCGGCGTTTACACATGCTCCATTCAAAGCCCCTATAGCATGCACCTCTGCCATGTGGCTTTGTGGAAGTGTTAATTCAGCCTGGATTAAAACATGGAAAATACTTTCTACTATAGCATTTGTAAAAAGCCTTTGTTTTATATTCCAAAAATGAACGATCTATATAGCCTACCCCTATCTTAATGAGTGCTTACTTTTTAGGCTATTATCTGATCGCCATGACAAAAGGGGTCTCATAATGTCTTAGTAACCGGGGGTTACACATCCACTGCTTCATTCATTCACCAGTCTTTTTAAGCACATGTGGCACATCTGAGACACATCAGAGACAAAACCATAAACCAGCCAGCACATTTTTAAGGGATATTCATATCGTCTCAGCATTACACACTCCGGATCTTTCACTCCACCACACATCAGCAGCCCTGCTCTACAAAAGCCCTGCATGGCGGTGGGAGCTCCCAGAGGTGTGCACCTCTCCCGTTGGAAACAGCTGGTTAGACTCAGAGACACACGGAAACATCCACACCGCTCTCAGCCGCTCTCCGTTAAGGAAACGCTTCATTTACCTGATTTACCCCCGTCACGGTGTCGGGCTGAACAGACGTGTTCCCATCTGTTCCCAGGATGATGGTGGTTTGGCTCATAGCCGTCCAGTTGCCCGCGGTGTTGTTCTGCTCTGCTGTCCGGATAGGGTCGCCGTACAGGGCGGCCCCCTCTCGGGCCGAACCTGCGGATTCTTTCCTGAAGGCCGAGTTCACGACCACGGATCCAGGGGCCGCTGGAGCGGTGTTTTTAAACGTCCCATACGCTTTATTGCTGTCCAGTTCTCCCGGTTTATTTTCCGTGGAAGAAAAAGTTTTGCCCTCGTTGCAGGGAGCAGGCGGCTGAGGCGCCGGGTGGTGGTGAGGGGAAGCCGGCGGGCAGGCGGCCGTGTTGTCCGGTTTGCTTGCTGTAAGTCCCGCAGCTCCGTCGGGCTGCTGCGCCGGGATGTAGCCGGTGGGAGCGCTGGCCGGCTGTTTGGCCATTTCTCTCTGGTCAGAGAAATCCTGGAACATGGGAGTGACAGATCAGCAAAACAAAAGGCAGAAAAACGACCGAAAGCATGAAGCTGTGGTGAAGCTGCTGTCCAGCTGTGCTTTGGACCTAACAATACTCAATTGTCTTTCTGCAACATTTTTCTGCAGCATGTTCTGGCTGCTCTATAGTTTCAGCTCACAGTCTACCCGGTGTGTTGGTTTGTGTGTGTGTGTGTGTGTGTGTGTGTGTGTGTGTGTGTGTGTGTGTGTGTGTGTGTGTGTGTGTGTGTATATGTTGGTGGGAGGGGGTTTGCTCGGCTTCTCCAGTTCTCGCTTTCTGCAAGATTCTTTAATTTTACGCCCCATTTCCCCCTCATGTCATTCAGCCACACACATCCACTGATTTTATGGGCAATAGACAAGCTGCTGCGGGTCTCTTGGTATAGCTCCACTCTCCCCTGCAGGCATGCAAGATCACCGGCGTTACAGCAGTGAGCGGACCCGAGGCGGGGAATTACAAATGACTCCCTGAAATGCTGCTTTGAGGGATAGCAACCAGAAAATCTTCAGTTTTGAAAAAGAAAAAAAATCGACTTTGTCATTGATTAATGCTCAGAAGTGATTTCAATTAGTGAGAAAACAAAGAACTGCAACTGGTTATAATCGCTTATATTTAAAAAGAAAACAAGTACAATCAAAAATAGAAAAGTGGTATGATAAACAAACATACACAGTTTTCTCGCGTCAGAACTTTAAAAAAGCCACACAATGGGCTTCTACGAGTTAGAAAAAACGGAATAGTAGGTGACAGAAAGAGAGAAAAAAGTTTTTAAATGTGGAGTTAACGCAGCTGAAAATCAGCACCATGGAGAGCTTCGGAACAGCAACGTGCCAAACTGCATTTAAAAAGTGTCAATGAACATGAACAAATCCAAGAACAAGTTCATTAAACAGATAAAACAGCAGATAAAAGTCAAAAAAGTGTTTTCGAACACTTACCATATTTGGGTGTCTGCTGGCAGGCTGAGGTCAGCTGTAAGAGAGGACTGGAAGCGGACTGCCTGTACCCGCGCAAAGCAGCGAGTGCAAAAGCTCTTCTATTGCTCCGTGGGAAAGAGTGGAGTTTGCGTCAGTGCAGAGCAAGGTGCCCTTCGCGTGACATTTTCTTGATAATAGGAGTTTGATAAATCATTGGCCTTGATTCGGATTTTAAAGGAGCCAATACGACGAGGGGCGCGTGAGTGCGTGCGTGAATTGTATGCGTTCTTGTTACGCACGGGCACGGCATACGTGAGCGCTGGACGGACTCTTTCCAAAGCTGATTAATACACTTGTCTCTGGGGATGTGTTATAGACAGACACACACACACACACACACACACACACACACACACACACACACACACACACACACACACACACACACACACACACACACACACACACACACACACACACACACACGCGAGCACACACACTCGTTTGGGATAAAGATTTCCAGGTTTAGGATTTTATTGGAGAGGATCTAATGCAGCAGAGAGCACGTGTCTAAATAATACTGTGCTGAGTCTTGATTCTCTGGTAAAATGACCATTACAGTAGTGCACAAGATTCTTGATTTTATAGAAACACGTTGTTATATCCCCGCCATAAACATTTAGGCCCGACAATGCAGAAGCTACACAATGTAATAAATGGGGGCATTAGTTGTAGAGGTTTATAATAGTTGGACAGTTAGATAGACGAGGATGGTATTCGTACACATATTATCATAGACATGCATTAACATGTAAGGTGTAATAAAATACACGGTCTAACACTATGGGCTATAAATGGTCTGAACTATAAATAGTGTTTCCACTTGGCAGGTTTTACGCACTAGAGGTTCTATATACGTTCCTTCGTGCGTCAGCAATAGCAGCATTGATCAAGTTAAAAAAAAAAGTGGGGTGGTCTTTATAAAGCTACTCATTTGTTAAAGTCTTACGCAAGAAGGAGGCCTCTTTTTTCTTAAATCACGTGTGCCAGGAGGAACCAGAGCCAACCACAGAGCTTGGACTGTAAGCAGTGACAGCAGAGGGGAAAAAGTGCCATGGAGATTCTAAAACGCTGCATTGCGCATACCATCCTCCAAGCCTGCCTTTAAACGCCCAATGTATATGCAAGTCCTGTGTGTGGGAATGTATAGGCCTTTCAACAAAAAAAGGCACAAGCGTACTCGTTTGTATCATCAATTAAGGAAAAGTTGTATGAGTGTTCATTATAAACAGTTCAGGCCTCCTTGCAAAACAAAATAATAAAAAAAACACACGTGTTTCAATAGGACACTTTATTGCAACAAATTATTTGTGCTGAATAAAGCAGGAATATCTCCTCCCCTGTGATTGGCGGAGTCACACTGGTTGGTTGGATCTGACAGTCCAATTATAAACGTGTTAACGAAAAACGAGGTAGGCTAGTTGCTTAGCAACCACGATGTTTAGTAGCTGTTTTTACAAGCGATATGCAGGCGAAAAATGGGATAGGCATAACATTTAATACAAATAATAATGATAAAAACCCATTGCCTAGTGGAATGTCTACAACATGTACTCAACAATTAATATCTAGCCATTATCCTATTTTTTTTTTTCTTAATTAATTAGAATAATTGTGCAACTTTTACCAAGATAAGGTTAGATAATGCTTAACATTAAAGAACAATGCTATCATGTCATCAAATAGTTTCAACTGAACCCCAAAGGCCAAACACTTAGAAAAATATCTCATTCAAATAAAGAAGCGAATCTGCTGAGTGTTTTTAACCTTTTTTTTCACGACACCTGAGCAGGTTGGAGGCAGTGTCCCGGCTGTGATTACTGCGGTTACACAGGGACACTCCGGCCGCTCGCTCACTGTGCACGCGCCGCTGCCTCCCTTGTAAATCTCCGGACGGCCCAGATAAGAGCTGCAGCGGCCGCCGCCTTCACTTTAATTACATTGTCAACAGAGAATAATTGTAATTGATTTCTGCTCGTCTTCCAGAGTCCGCTGTACACGGACTACTGCACACACACGGCTATATCCTATAGGGCCTACTCTACATTTGATTCCCTTGTGGATTTCAAAGAACTGACAGAACATGATGCTTTGTACACATTAGTAGAAAAAAGAGCACGTATATCGCAAATAGCCTACGTTTCCTTCTCTAACGTGAGGAGAGTCCCTAAAATCCGTCCGTCTTGTTTTTCTCACAAACCTTTTTTCAATAGTTTATTTGTGAAGAGACTGCTGATCGAGGAGCTGAACTAACCTCCACGAGGAGTTTCTCGGTGTCTCCTCGTGCTCGTTAATTACATGAGCTCGTGTAATTAATTGACCCCTTCCACTGTCGCCTGACTGATAAGAAGTCTCATCCATCTGAATCGCCTGGGAAGCAGTGATTCAGAGGAGGAGGTCAGCCAGGGGCCCGTGGCATCCATCATCATCATCATGTCTTGGACCTGCATTTGTGTTAGGGAATGTACGTAACAGCGTTAGAAAAACCGTGCTGTAATTGTACTAATAATGACAGTTATACACGCGGTCTGATTTGTTCATGCAGCTGCTTTTTTTTTGACAGACTCGGTTTTTTTGTGACTGTCTCATTCAAGGTAGTATTTCAATTATAGTCGGCCACGGCCACTATTAGTAATACTTTAAATACAAGTTGATTTTGTAAAAATAACCTTTCTGAGTCGGTTTTTAATAACTTTAACCAAAGTTAAAGGTGGGGTAGGTAATTTTGGAGAAACCAGCTCGAGTGCGCTAGAATTTGAAAATACACAGCCGGAAGAAATCGGCTACTTCCTTACAGAGCCCCTCCTCCAACACACACGAACGCGCACATGACCAATGAGTGCACGAGATAAATTTGTGCACAGATGAAGGCTGACAGGCAGGTAGGCCATCCAGTTATTTTAGCTGGGCCGGCTAAAATGATTGGTCGTGCTTTTTACAGCACTACAGCTTCCAGAGATGACATTTTTTAATGGATTTGTTGTCAAAGCACTTCAGATATTCATTGCTATCGGGATGTTAAGAGCATTCCATGGAATATATCAAAAAGTGTATCTCGAGCCGGTTTCTCAAACTTACCTACCCCACCTTTAAACTAAATAATGCACATATTTTTTACTTTTTATATGATAACAAATATGCAACATTTGATAGTACACTAGACATTAACAGACAACATTTTAATAGTAATTCCACCACGTCTAATGTAATTAATAGCTGACTATAAGGTGATTAAGAACATCTGCATGCTAAAAAAAGACAGCTGATTATAATTGTATTTCTTCAAGAACCACATATTCAACAGTTACAGCCTCTACTTTTTTCATCCTAAGAATAGCCTGTATGCTCCATTTCATGTCAGTGTGCAGACCAGACTATTCAAATAATGGCAGAGGACACAGAAGCAGTGAACATACATCTCAAGAGATGACTGTCAGCAGGCAGCCAGCCGCAGTCTGTCCCTCTTCCTCCTCACAGACCACTACACTATCCCATCGTCCAGGATTCATCATCTCAGGCAAAGAAGAACAGGAACAAATATTTAATTGTAAGCAGAGCTTGCTCAATGAAGTATGTAAAGAGGCTTCAGTCAGCCTTTTTAAAGCTGAAATTCATTTTGCGTTTTCCCAGTAAACTCACGGAAGATGGATGATGCCTCCGGTGAGATATCATGCAGCTCAAAGTAGGACAATAAGGAGGAGAATGTGGAGGGAAATTAGGAGAAATACTTGGCAAAAGGACAAAATGTCTTTACGAAGAACTGGCGGACAGTTCGTCTCAGTGTTTTTCTTTTAGTTAGACATTTCGATGAGACATGAGTGTAAAGGTGCACAATAAGAGTAATTTCAACCATTAAGTCTGTGTGGATTTGGTTATTTTCAAGTCACAAGACGTTTAAGTTTAAAACTGGGCCAAATTTAAAAGTTGAGCATTTTTGGACATTAGGTTATAGTTGTTTCAACAGTGTGTATATGAATGCATTTCAAGGTGCATCACATTTAAATTGAGTTAATGCCACTTAAAACAATGATTACATTTAACAATTTCAAAACCTTCCTTAAATGATGTATCAATGAATCAAATAAATAACAAACTCACAAGGAATCTCATATGTCATAT